ACCATACTCAGAGCCCGCCGTGCCCGGTCCACCATCCCTCCACTCCCCCCCATCCCTGCCTCACCTCCCCACCGGGAGGCTGCTCCCCGCGTGGCACCGCCGGGCAGCGTGCCACCACTTTCTGACTTTGGCCGTCTCGTTGGGTGAAGAGCTTCCAACTTGGCATTCCAGGGAAGGAGGGGGTTGAAATAAGCCCAGGGGAGCATCGGGAAGGGCCGAATGCCAGCAAAGTGCGCACTGACAATCCAGCCGCCAACAGCCCCCTTGCTGCCTGCCCCGCTGGGGCCAGGCTACGCAGGACGGCGGGTGTGGGGTATAAACAATGCCAAGAGCGAGAGTATCCGTAGTGCAGGCTTTCACCGGCGTCCCTGGAAGAGGCTTCAGCGCATTGAGCAATGAAGCTCTTGATGAAGCAGGAGAGCCTGAAAATACCATTACAGCGAATGTGAAGGAATCGCCAGCCACACTACTCGAAGGCACCAGACCTCCGCGGGCAGCAGAGGTGATGCAATTAATCTGCACTAAGCTGAGCAGTGAAAATGCCAGATGGCTTCTGCCCTGGAACTTCCACGGTTGCAGCATCGAGCCTCTGCATCAGGCTGCTGTGGGAACCACTGACATACGTATTTTAGACATGCCCCAAATTAGATACCATTGAGATTTCAGCAGAAAGATACTGCCTTTGGGGACCTGCTCAGAAAACAGCCTCGTGCCACTGAGCAATGCACAATACAGGCAGGCTATAATAGGTCTCTGCATCTTTCTTGCTAAGAGATGTTAAATGAACACGAGAGAACTCATATTGGTTCAAATACAGATCAAATGCCAAAAGCAGCTGCTTTGGGAAGCTGAGCCAGTCGTTTGAGTAAACACACATATGTATGCATATGTATGTGTATACACACGTAGACCCATACATGCATATCCACATAAAGGCAAGGAGAGAGAGTTGGGTAAGTAGAAGCACCCTAGACAGCCAGAGAGCCTGCAATGAAGGCTATGGCATTGCATTGAAATTGGTAGTGTGAGCTTATCTACCTATTATTGGAGTATTGGTACCCCTTGTGCAGGCTACCAGCGCTACTGATATTGCAGTGTGTTGCTACAGATTGGAAGTTACTTTCAGAGGTACTTCCCCAAGCAGAGAGTGGGTTTTTTCCCCATGCATTTCCTTATTAGATCTTGAGAAGCCAACTTCTGTTTTGAGTGTAATTTTTATTTTTTCACAAGCAAATACCTCTATAATTAACAGTATTTCCTTTGTCTTTGTGTGTGAAAAGAAATATGACATTTCTACTTTGCAGGGGTTAATGCAACATAGCACTATCAATATGCTTTATGTTTTCTGGCGTTTTACATATGATAACCCGTGGATCTTGCCAGTCTTGTAATTTGCTATTAAACTAATGTTCAGATAAAATCTCTGTGGTATTACTCAGTTGAAAATTAAGTAAACAGAATTTTATCTCTGATTTGGGACAGCCAGGTCTGGATATTGGCAACATTCTGAGTGCACGCTAGTATGTTTTATTCCTAACACGTACTAGCTGCCAAGTGTTTCTCAGCAGTAAGTACCGTGGCAAGAAGAGCAAGCAAAAGGGGAAAAATTAAACATTCTCTGAAACCTGTATCACATATTGAGGTTTTAGGGGTGATACTGTAACAGCATGACTGGACCTTCCTTTAATCTGCTCACAGTGTCACACCAAATTACATTCCTCTTGGGATCTTCTCCGTTTCTACCCTCTATGTTACACCATCCCCCTCAAAACACCTACTGACACATGCCCAGGTGCTGACCATTTGCAATTCAGCCAAATCTTATATATTCAAAATAGCAAGCAGAGAGGTTTTTTCCCTTCTCTCTGCAGTTTGTGCAAATATCACTAGGATGTATCTCTCAATTTTATTTCATAAACTACTCCCAGCAGAAAAACATAAGATTAAATGCAGCTTAAAAAAAGAAGATAGAGTTGGAGCACTTAGAAAAAACTAATTGATTTCACCTTCTAATATTAATGGGTACAGGTAAAAACAGCTGCAGGAGCTGTGATTCAGTATTAATTTACCCAAATCAGTGAAGCTGAATTGTCTTACCTGGAGAGATGGCTCATTATATTCAAAGAAGAAAGGAAAAAGCAGTGCAGAAATTTTAACCATATTTTCTCAGTCAGTACCAGGTAAAAGGTGCCATAATATTTTTGTATCTCAACTTCTTTTCTTTATGTGTTAATGACAGCTTTTCTTACTAGTAGTATGAATATTTAAGGCATTATGACATTTTCTTCAAAGATGGAGATTTGTATGCATAAGAAAGAAATTTAAAGTATTGAAAATAATCTTATTTATTTCAAACATTAATTGCATTAATTTTTATTATTTTTGGATAATGGAGGAAGATTTCCTCATATTTCTATTACTTTCATGTAATTTTAAATATGCTTCTACTGATCTATTGCTCATTAGCAATGATGTAAAATGTGAAATCACACAGTACAATAATATCTCTTGTTGCAGTTTAGGTTTTTTTCTATGTTTGTTTTGGAGACTACACTGGTACACAGAATAAGGATTATAATTTTTTTCTCTGTATTAATCTAATTTATGAAATCTGTAACAAGTTAATTCCATTGGTTCTATTGTTACAGATCATGCACTTCTCCCAGACAGAACTTTTTGCAAGCAGTAAATTGTTCTTGCCAACCCACACGAAGCATTCCATACTATTAAGTCTTTTCTTTCACATAACTCAGTGTATTGCCATTTATGTACTTAAATATCATTAGACAAAACTCAAGTTTCCAAGACTTGAGAAAAAGAGATTCCTTTTATTGAATGACTGAAGAACACAAGGAATCTGTGAAAGAAGGAGGAGACCCCAGCAGAAATCTTTCTTTTTTGTATGGAACATTTATTGGCAGAGATATGTTTCTCATGAAAGTTTAGTGGGGCAAAAGGGTTGTGAGTGAAGAGAGAGGAACATGCAAGGGAAGGGAGGCATTAGTCCAGGGATGTGTATAAATAGTAACACTTTCCTTAAAACAGGCAAGTACTGATCTCAGCTCTGGGTCTCTTTCACTCAAGCTGTTCTTCTATGCCAGATAGACTAGAATCTTGAACTATATTTCTTTTTTTCTTAGTTCTTAGTTTGTTTTCATTAAAAGGTAAAAAAAATAGAATGGGTCAAACACAAGTGAACTACTGGAAAAAATTTCCAATACCAAATTTTGGTGTTTGCTCAACCTTAATTTCATGTGATGACAAGCAAGTTCTTTTCTGACTTTTTCTCAAGACTTCCAAGTTATTCAAGTGAGAAGATATTTGGGGTTTGTAATTTTATAGAGGTAAGCGAGTCCCTTAGCTTTATTGACAGTTAAATTGCTATTTAATTTTATTTCCGCATCTTATTTTGGAAACGTGCAGAATTCTTTGTAGACATCCCATTTTATTACTACTTAAATTGCAACAATTCCTGTTTTTGGAGGCCAGCAATTAAACTTCTTTGCCTACATTTATCACTTCTACAGAATTCGTATCTGTTAATTTTACTGACATGCTACAAGCTCTATCTCCTTTCTTCTCCTAGCCAGAGTTTTTGAATAACTTAAGCTTATTTTTCTGATATCAGAGGATGGCAGTTGATGCACTGAGGTTCACTGCTTTCTTTTGCAATTTTTTAATGAATAGCAGAATAACGTCACTGAAGTTTTTGGTGTTTTTCAAAGCCATTTAACTTTTGTCCTCCATGATTATTTTCAGATATCTGTGCTTCCTACTAAGCGTTTACATTCTGTTAGAATACTCAGGTGTTACATTTTTGAGGTTTTTCTGTCAGTCTTTCTGTAGAAGTTTTAGGAAGGTACAGTTCTAATGTATCAAACTCAGTGCTGGAGTGGGATGCAGCTCTAGAGTAGAGACATCTAAATTTAAGTGTATGCATTTGAATTGCTAAATGTCTTAATACAGTGATGGGAGCTTAGAGGAAACCTCAGCTTTGAGTGTGGGTTTTGACTTCTTGATGAGCTTAATAGTGTCTAAGCATTCTACTGAAGAGGGGAAAAACCAAAGCAGAGATGCCTCGTGCAGCTTCAGATTCCCAAGGCTATCCAAGATGCCTGCAGAAGGTGAAAAAATAGTTTTTTACCTGCCTCACCTTGCCAAGGAAACTATCTTATGGGTGATCTGTACTTTCCTGGAGGTTAGACCAAATATTTTGTGAAATTATATAGGTTTTGACACCTGAATCCACACTACATCCCTTTTGGCTCTAATAGGAGATCAAATCTCCTATGTAAATACCAGCATTATAGACACACAGATCAGATGTTCGAATCATCATCCTTAGAATTG